CAAACGATTTTATAAATCGTTCAAACGATTTAAACAATCGTACAAACGATTTTTAAATTTTTTTCTACATTGTCAAAATGGCACGAATACGCCGTCGCACGTATATCATATCAGGATCTCAGATGTATTGTTTTCGCTATGGGGGTCACACGGTATTGAACAGTTCTTAAGCAAAATATATACCGGTACATAAAATGTTCCTTTCTCATATTCAGAGGGAAAAATGTAGCTTTCTAGAATTTCTATATAACATGTCGCACAGTTATTCTTTTGTGCAGGAAAAAATCTAAATTCTAATTTATGCATTTTGTCACCAAAACGAACGATCTTTTTCTAACGCAATAAATCTTTACTGGCAGAAAGTGTCATTGATGCATACGACTCGCCATTCGTAATTCTGCGTCAAAGACTGAAAACAACGAATGACAAATCCATGGTGTTGGCATCTCTGAGCTTTGAACTACAGGTGCTTGAGGACAGGAACCCCTTGACTTCCCCCTTATTCACATCCCACTCCCGAGGGATTTTCGTTATTTTTTAAATTATTTTTTTAATCAGTAGCAGATTCGAAAAATCAAAAAAAAAAAAAAAAAGAAAAAGAAAGAAAGAACGTTAATTATAAGATTTATCTATAAAAATGATGATAGCATTTTACATTATTTCTAAAGTATAGGTACTTCTTATTCTTAAAAATCTAGTGTTACAAAAAAGTTGATCCTGTTGAAAGTGACTTTGCGTTAACATGAAAAGGAAACTGGAATTGAACAGATTCGTTTTGTAATGTATTGTCTGAAAAGAAAAATCGCAACTATATACCGATCTAACTTTATAAATACAGATCTATAGATTTTTTTTAAATCTTTTTTCTATGGACAACTTATATCCAAAAACATTTTTCAAAGAGGTAATAATTTAAATTACACCGTCAAAAAAAATATTGGCTTTGTCATAAACGACAAATAATATGATATATAAATAATATCTTAGATAATTTATTGAACATCAAAAGCGTGCACTAAGTAAAAGAAAGGAAATGAAGATAACGAACAGTATTCAATATCAAAGTGGATAAAACAATACAAAATAGGAACAGAGCAAAAACGGACCTTCAAAACATCAGAGGTAGGATCAGGTGCCATGGGTGAGTGAGCATCCCCTGCCGACTGGACACACCCACCTTGTGCTCCTTGTTATGACCAAGAAATAACGGAAAAATCCGTCTCAATTCAGTGTATAAATAATGGACTAACAATTAGTATGAAAAATGTCAGTCAGCATTTGACTCAATGATAAATTGTATTTGCTGACAAGGTCATTGTATCGACCATAGAACTTACAAAATGATGACTTTAAACGAGACTGCTGATAGTCTTGTTTCATCAACTTGTTTGTCAATAATTTACCTCGTGCGTATCGAATCAACTGAGATATGTAAACTCCGTATGCAGGTGATGAAGGTATATTGCTGCATAGGTAAGGGAAGTTGACGATAGAAAAGTTAAAGTCATTACTTTTATCATAAAGCTTGGTTGTTAGATTACTATTAGCGTCTTTTTCAAGTAAAATATCCAAGTATGAAACAGATGTGTCAGACTCTGTGGTATCTTCTATCTCAAGCTCACAAGGATATATCGTATCGACATAGGAATGGAAATTACCATTGTTAATGGACAATATGTCGTCGATATATCTAAATGTCGAGTTTAAGGCCACAGCAAGTGTTTTCTTCTTTTCACGCATACGATTTGCACAAATTTGCACAAATATGAATACAAAAGTAGGTCTGCTAATAACGGATCGCAATTGGTACCCATGGGAATTCCAACAGATTGTTGGAAGACCTGGTCCCCAAAAACCACATAGATATTGTCAATCAGAAACTCGAGCATCTTTTTTTTATGTCAACTTCAGAGTACTTGTGTGTGCAATCAGAGTGTGTTTTAACTAAATAATTTTGCAAATGACCAATGACCAAATAAATTTACGAGTTCCATTTTTTATTGAAAAAGCAGCTGTCAATGATATCAAAAAGCCTGGACTTTAATTTATCGTGGGGAATGGTTTTGTATGAAGTTGAAAAGTCGTAAGACTTTTTTTTCATAAAATTGATAGAACTTAGCAATCATTGATAATGATAGGGTTTCCATAAAGGACAGGTTTGATAAAAAAATCTGATTCTAATAATTACGGTAAAAACAAATTTTCTCTGGATTAAAAGAATTCCTGTGAAATGAGTAAATCTACAGGATCAATAATAAAGCTCTACACGCACTCATTAAAGATATTTTGAAGTTTCAAAGAAAAAAATGATAATAATAAATTGTTTTTCATCAGAGAATTCAGCTGAAAATGATGATGGATCAGTGTTTGAAAACAAAATCAATATTCCTCAGCGTGTCTCATATGTGAGGACTTGAAATTCAATTACTGTGTGAATTCCACAAAACTCCCCTAAGAATAAAGCTCGCAGACAACACGAACTGTGTCAACAATTGTCTACAGCGATTACCTTACAAGAACATCATCTGATAATTTCTCTAACCCCCAACCTAGCATGGCTCATTGACATAATTTTGATGCTTTTCTTTTAAATGAAAAATAACGACTTCGTTAAAGCAATATGAGCGGCAAAATTATTTTGTTGTTAAAATGTGTTATTATGATTAATTTATGTAATTTAAACCCTTATGGTTAGTGAAACCAAAATAAAACTTGAAAATTGTTTCAGAAGAAATATTTCTGTACAATCGAATATATAGCATTATATAATAAATAAATCGTGCAGGACGACAATAATGTCATTTTGCTTCAATTAAAGCTTATGAAAAGTTTTTACATCGCAAATATGAACAACAGAAGTTTATAAATGTGTTGTCTGAAAACAAAAATCGCAACTATATACAGAATCGGCGCCAATTTCAAACAGAGCAAACTTTCGTTAACTGGATGAGATTTGTTCAATAATTGATTTTATTTTTGACAGCGGAAATCTGCTGAACTTTTTTTCAGTGCAAATTAAACATTTGTTATCATATTTATGGTCTTTCCTTTGGTTATATGTTCATGTTTTACCAGACTTTTATGAAAACATGTTTGGGGCAAAAGAATTTCAAATTTAAGTCCCCGGTGTCTTTTTGTACTTGCACGTTGTTGCAAATAAGTACACAGAAATCAATAAAATTAAAAAAAAAAAAAAAAAAAAAAAAAAAGAAAAGTTTACAGAGATTTGTCATCACAAAATTCCCTAGATTTCAGCCATTGTAGGATCTTCTCATTCCAAAAAAGGCACGAAAACAATCAAAGGAAGCTAGTATCTCACGGAAAATAATTTTCATCAGTGCCTTTTGGGCATCTCAAGAAATGAATTTGCTGAGTTTTTTTTGTTTTTTTGTTTTTTGTTTTGTTTTGTTTTTTTCTTTTGTCATGGGTAATTTAAGTCTTGTGTAAAGGGTACTATGGAATGCTTTGGTAGATAAAAGCTTTTTGTATATGTTAGATTTAAATACCCCGGGAATGGAAACAGAGTCAAAAGATGAATCAAAGTTTAACTTGTATATAGGGAAAATCATTTTAAGGCCGCAATAAGAATTGAAGCTTATACATAGGAAAATGTCTTTTGAAAAATTGCCAGTAGCAGTTCAAGGCTGTGATGATTTACTGAGAGAACCTTGAGTAAGGCGGATTCACGTTTTTTTTTTATTTTATTTTATTATTTTTTTTTTTAATCGATGGCCCGGAGATTAGAGGATACAGGGGATGAGATTTTCCAAGTAGGAAAATACATGTATAGAAAAAAAAAATCCCAAATTTTCTTCTCAGGGGCTTCATCACCTGCATACGGGGTTTATATCTTTCATTCGATTCGATACGCGAGAGTATGCTCTACGTATAAACATTTCTAAAACAAGGTAAATTATTGACAAACAAGTTGATGAAACAAGAATATCAGCAGTATATCATAAAATCACATTCATCATTTCGTAGGTTCTATGGTCGATACAATGATACAAAATTTAACATTTAGTCCTGAATGACTTTTGTTATACACACTGAACTGTCGACGGATTTTTCGGCTATTTCCCGATCACAACAAGAAACAAACGGTGGGTGTGACCGTTCGGTAGGGGATGCTCACTCCTCTGTGGCACCTGATTCCATTTCTGATGTTGGAGATTCGTGTTTGCTCTGTTCCAATTTTGTATTGTTATAAGACTTTTGATCATGAATATTGTTCGTTATATCCATATTTGCAGAGTTATTAATGTATGTACTAAACGAAGCAATTTTTTGGGAAATGATTTTTACTTTTTTGTTGTTGGTGGGTCTTTTTTATTTGCGTGTAAAAAACTTCTAAGGTTGAATTTCTTTTTTACCGGGGTGGAATCCCCCCCCCCAGAATAGCGTAAAGGAAGGGCCACTAAGGGATGTGTTTTAAAGGTTGGTAAAGGTAACACCCCCTCCCCCTTTCCAAACGAAAATGTTTGCCCTTGGTTTGTTTGTTTATATGTTTGTTGTTGTTTTTTTTTTTTTGCTTAGTTTTGGTCATTTCTTTTTTTACAAGAACTGTTTTTATTTCCTTTTCTTTTCTTTTTTTAAAATAAATTCATGATTTTGTCTTGCAGCGACTTTGCTTTCGAGAACGAAAGATACTGCGTACGACCTAGCTAAAAAAAAATTGTTTCTAAAAATAACTTTTGTTCTGTTGTTTTTATTTCTGCAAGCTGACCCACTAACCCCCAGTTATTCTGCCGCAAAATTGAGCAGGAGTTTTAGATTAATTTCATTTGAAATGTATGTATTTTATTTTTTTCATATGTAATCGTAATTTAGGACTATCTTTTTTAACCTTGAAATCAGTGTTTTGTTTTTGTATGCGGCGATTTTTGAATGACCGATTATCCATTGGCAAATGATTGAACAGTCCACAATTAATCTAATTCTTGGTGATGCAAAATATAAACAATGATGAAGTTTTGTGTATGCAGTATTTTTAATATACCAATGATATTCATGTTAAATTGTTCCCGTGACATGATGATGTAATAGGCTCTAAGGCTATGTGATAGAGCGCAGAAGTTACCTAAGTTTTGCAGTGTAATCAGCTGATATTTTGGTGCCCGGGGAGGCCCCTTGGTGACAAGGTAAAACAAAGAACAGGGCAGGTAAACTACAATTCCTTGATTTTTAAATGCTATTAAACTTGACGTTTTTTTGTTTTATTTCAGATGTCTTATACCTGTTTATGTCTGAATATCAAGATTTTCTGCAAGACAAAACCAAGTTTTCAACAGAATGAGGGTAAACATTTTATTTGAACAAGAGTAGATGAACTGGATTGTAAATTATTATTTAGAGATTAACATTATTTAATGTCATCAGCAAATCTTAGAGGAAAATCACTGAGGCTATATTATGAATATGCTGATGTTTGCATGTTTTATAAATGGCTATAATGACTCATGCATTGAATATCATGACTTTATATCAGAAATTAACTTGGGCAGAAGACCCAGAGGAAAATTGATGTGTACATGTAATAAAAAAAAAGCCAAGACATATTCAATTTTGGTTCATAACTTGTGTTATTGAATAAAAATGATGATATTGGCATTTAGTATATTGCATAATCAATCTAGTCATTTTATTGGAACTGAAAGCTTTTAGAACAAAAGAAAGGTAACTCTGTGATCCAGTGAGTTATAGTAGAACATGTTTGGAACATACTTTTTGAACTTAATTTTTTATTTCTTGTCATAGATGAACCTGTATGTAACTCTTTTGATCCTGTTTATGACACATTTCTTCTGCAGACAAAGTTAGAGGAAATCTTTTATTATAATTTTGAATGGAGGGATCTTATGTCCATGTATATCATTCACTGTGGCAGTACTGTGCACATGATGCATATTAAAAACATTAAATTTAAACTAAAGCAAGACATTTGAGGTGAATCTAATTATACATATGATAATGAAAAGTTAGTTCAGCATTAGCCATTTTTAATAAGATTAATATCCCACTCCTATAACAAGATCAATTTTCTCAAAGTTTTAAGTTGTTATGGTACTTTTTTATAGATTTATGGAAGACTAAATATGAGTTCTTCTCACAAAATCTGGGTCAAGCTACAGATGCTGAAGTGAAGAAAGTAAGACTCAGTATTATACTATAATAGTAACTTCATAGACTGTTTTACATGTATTTATATAGAAACTCAGTTCTTAATCCCAAAGGGGAACGTTCTCTGTGGAATTTAATGTAAGAGTTTATCAAAAGCACATCTTTAGTTCAAGCATAATATGGATTATCCAATCTGAGAAGTCTTTGCCTTCGAAGACACATCCCAAATTCTTGTTTGCCCTTGGCAAGGCTTTAGCCTCAGAGTTTAGGGGTGGTCAATGGCACCAAATCTGTAACAGGAAAATAGAAAATGTATGGATTGGAATCAAACCAGGGACCCCAACATCACAAATTAGATGCTCTACAACTGAGCTACCCTGGGTTGATATCAATGGTCAAAATCATGCATAAGCTAGCTGTATTAAACATGTTTTTCTTTTTAAAAAAGTATAATTTTTTCCCACATTTTATTTATTATAGGAACACACCTACCTTGTTCATAAACATGCTGTAGGGGAGTGGATTGTGAACCGGTGCTTGAACTGTGGTGTTGAGACACACGCCACAAGACAGGGGACCAGTGTGGTGCTTCTCTCCCCCCAGCTGCAGGTTAGTTTAACCAGACCAGCTCAAGGGTATAATAAAGTGACCTGAAAATCTTTTAAGTATTTCACCATCAATAACTTTAACCCATAAATCTATCTCGAAATTTTTTCTTGGTCCTTTTAAGGACATTCGATCCTGTGCTTTTGAGTCGATTTTGGTCTGGACCTTTATTTCTATAATTCTGCATCATTTTAAAGTTTTAACATTGAATTTAGATTCTACAATACAAATTAAACTACAGTGGACCTTCAGATATCCGGACGCCAGATATCCGGATGCTTCAGTATCTGGACGATTTTTCATCGGAACGGATTTTTTAAACATTATTTTGTCTTGTTTAACTGGTGATTCAGGTATCCGGACGCTTCACATATCCGGACAAATTGACTGGGAATCAAAGCGTCCGGATAAATGAGGCTCCACTGTATCTCAATTGCAAAAACTGCAATTAAATTCCATTCAAGTACGATTAAGCCAGGAACTATATTTTGTGGCGGAAGGTTTTTAGAAGAAAATTATCATTTTTTTTCCCTTTTGAAGTATATACAGTACTGTTAAATTTAGATTCCTATTTTTCCATGCTGGTTGCACACAAAGCTATTTTTTGCAGAGAAATGTGTTATGCTTGTTCTGAAATATTCTATTATATAATTTCTTATGAATTCTTTCGAAGAATTATAACAAATATAGTAAATACATTCTGAAAGTCCAGGGGAAAATTGAACCAGTTTTAGCATAAAATTGACACATTTTTAGTAATATCTAAAAATTTACATCATATACCCCCACTTTTGATATTATTTTCTGAATATTTAAGATAACTGTGACCTATCTGCTTAAATTTAGCAAAAGTTTAAGACTTAAAAATAATTTTCTTGCTTATTAAATCTTCAATGTCAGAAAAATCACATTTTGTGAGTGCAGAAAGGTCAAATTATTTATTATGCGAAACAATTTTAAACTTTTTCGTAATAGACTTATAGTTTATTTTGTTTCATTCTTTATTTGGATAAAAATATTGGAGAGAAAATGTCCAGATGTAATTTTTGATAAAGACACAAATTTAGTGCAAAAAGGTCATAATAAATGTACTGTAGTGCCAAGAGAAGCATATTGACCCCCATTTTTTGATATGATTTTTGATTAAGCTATGTGTGTAGAAACTAAAAATATACCTGACAAAAAAAAGTTTAAGACTTTAAATATCAGGAGCCAACGTCGTTAAGTTCAAGATAAACAAGGTTTGACTGTAAATAAACTATTGCTCAGTCACTTCAAAGGGAAAAAGAAGATTTGAAAGGTACATTGCAAATAAATGTGTTTACAGATATCAGTAAAGCATATTTCATTTTTCAGAGTGATCAGCATATTAGTGAGAGGTTAATGCAATCTCCAGAATTTTCCAAAGTTTTCAACATAGTCCTCCATGGGCAGAGCATTACAATCTCTAGTCATGACATGCCAGGTATTGTTCAGGGTCCATGTTTGAGTTACATTATATTACATTATATTAAGGTCTATAGTTAAACGATCAAAGCTAATGATTTCTTCAAATCAGAATGTCCTAATACTTTTATAGCTCATCTGAGATCCGAGCCAAGGAATAAAGTGCTAGAAGAATTTTATACGTGATTAAATCTGATTTTATTTTTGTAGACCCCTCTTCAAAAAACTATGAATCTCTACAAGTGGAACTGACACATATTCAGGACCAAGTCAACAGCTTCCTCCTACAGGAGGAGGAAGAAATGGAGAAGAGAATAAGGTATTAAGTGGGGAGGCAATCGAGTTATAAGAAGTCTTAAGTTACACTAAAAAACATCCTGTTGTTGAATGTATTTTATCAGTTACCAGGGCCCCATTTTACAAAAGGACTTACGACTTAAGACCAAATTTAATTCTTCATATGACTTTTTAGCTCACCTGAGCCGAAGGCTCAAGTGAGCTTTTCTGATCACATTTTGTCCGTCGTCCGTCCGTCTGTCTGTCCGTCTGTAAACTTTTCACATTTTAGACTTCTTCTCAAGAACTACTGGGCCAATATTGACCAAACTTGGTACAAAGCATTCTTGGGTGAAGGGGAATTTAAATTCTTAAAATGAAGGGACATATCCCCTCGCAAGGGGAGATAATCAAGAAAAGACAAAAATAGGGTTGGGTCATTTAAAAATCTTCTTCTCAAGAACCACTGGGCCAGTAAAGCTGAAACTGATGTGGAAGCATTGTGGGGTAGTGTAGATTCTAAATTGTTCAAATCATGGCCCCTGGAAGAAGGGCGGGGCCACAATGGGGAATCAAAGTTTTATATAGAAATATAAAGGAAAAATCTTCGAAAATCTTCTTCTCAAGAACCACTGGGCCAGAAAAGCTGAAACTTATGTGGAAGCATCCTGGTATTGTGTAGATTCTAAATTGTTCACATCATGACCCCCAGGGGAAGGGCGGGGTCACAATGGGAAATCAAAGTTTTATATAGAAATATATAGGAAAAATCTTTGAAAATCTTCTTCTCAAGAACCACTGGGCCAGAAAAAGTGAAGCTTATGTGGAAGCATTCTGGGGTAGTGTAAATTCTAAATTGTAGGAATCATGACCCCCGGGGGAAGGGCGGGGCCATTATAGGGAATCGAAGTTTTACATAGAAATATATAGGAAAAATCTTTGAAAATCTTCTTCTCAGGAACCACTGGGCCAAAAAAGCTGAAACATATGTGCCCATGGAAGGATCATGGGGTAGTTTAGATTTCAAAATGTCTAAATTATGATCAGTGGGGTAGGGTGGGGATGCATTATGTATAACAAGGGGGAAATCTGGTAAAGAACAGAATGGTCAAAGCTTCTCAGGTGAGCGATGTGGCCCATGGGCCTCTTGTTAATTAACATTATATCAAAAGTTATTTTAAACCTTTTAAAAGGAATGTGGTAAGATATTTTACACAAACAATTTGAAAGAGAAATATTAATTTTGCAAAATTTTACAACAGTCTTAAGTTTTTGGTCTTCATAAGTTCTTTTGTAAAACGGGCCCCAGCTGTTTATCTCAATTTTTCATCTGATGTATTTAAATACATTGTATGTATGAGGGTTGTCTTAAAAGAACAAGACCTTTTTAAATATTTTGTTTAATATATCTACCTGCCCATATTATTCATTTATGCACATTGTTTGTGTAATATAATGATATTTTTGTCTTGACACAATATTATAAAATTGCAACATCATCATGCACATTGTTATCTTTTTAATACTGTAAAAGTGAAACAACGTTGAAAATGTTCACATTTTATCTGAGGCAACTCTTGTAAATTTCAAGTAACAAACTAAGTAAGATTGAATAAAGCATACTTTAAACTTGAAAGTACTTGAGCTTGTTAGGATTTTGATTTTTAAAACTGATGTGACATTCCATTTGTAGGGAATTTGAGGAGGACCAGAGAGCAAAATTCCAGGCATTACAATCAAGTGTTCAGACAGAAAAGAAGAAAATGATTAAGTTTGTAAACATTTCAATATTTAAAGTTTATTAGAAGATCCTCTTTAAAACATATAAACATTTTAATCACCTCAGCTGAATAGATATATGTTCATGTTTCTGTTATTTTTGAACAGTCTCTTGTTGCAAGCAGAGAAGCAGATGGAAACCTCTGTTCCAGAGAAAAATGGTAGGGTTAATATCTTGTATTAGTTTAATAGCTTTGATTTGTACATGTAAATTGATTCTAGTTGTATAGTGTGGAATACTGGTAGTTCTGAAATTTTCCTATATTTCAATACATTATTCCTCAATTTACATCTGAAAATTCTGTATATGCTCAAACATAGTGAGACGTTTTATCTTATACATTGAATGCATCATCAGGCGCGGATCCAGGATTTGGAGTTAGGGGGGGCGCCAAAATTAGGCAAGGGGTCTGGGGCCGCCGTGAGGCCCCCAGTGGGGCCAGGGCAAAGCCCTGGTGAAGCCCCCGGAAGCTCCTGGATTCTAGAGATTTTGAAGGGTTAAAATGAGGTCTACCAAAGCCCTGGTGGGGGCCGAGGGGGCGAAGCCCCCGGAAGCTCCTGGATTCTAGAGATTTTGAAGGGTAAAAATGAATTCTACCAAGTAGACATATTTGATTTACGCTAACTTTGACAATTTTAGGGGGGGCGCGCGCCGGGTGCGCCCCCCCTTAAATCCGCCACTGATCATTTTAATTTGAACAAAGTTGTTGTAATTCATTGTATGATATTTATTTTTCAGAGTTGCCAAACCTGTCACCTGTCATGACAAAGTCTTCCAAGGTCTGTGTTAGCTTATTTTTTGTTGTCAGCCTTCTATTTGATGTTTTTCGTCTGTAAATCTTTATCCTAGATTAGATATTAAAGTCATAAGGGAATATAAAGTTAAATCCTAATGCACACCAATGCAGACTAATTTGATTTGTCATAAATTTTACTTGGTAAAATTCACAAAGGTTACCATGTACAGTTTCGTAAAATAAAATTGGAGCTCTTTAATTTCTTGCATTGTAAAATGTCCAGTAGTTTATTTTTATACCTTATTTGCATGGTCAGCTTTTGTTCTACTAATTAATAATTATTTATGCATACCTCTCTCACATCACCAGAAAACTTTTGAAGATAAAACATTTATTTTTCAACAAGGATTTTCATGATTTAGTCTAACTCTTGGTCATTATAGAAACCATCATTGACAAGAGTAAAATCAACTCCAAACAAGCGCCTCCACTCAGTGGATGAGTACGAGCAGACTCCAGACTCCGATGGTAATGTATAATATGTATGTAATGTAAAAACTAGATATTGACAGGCATTTTACATTGAAAGATCGTCACTAAAATTAGGTTAATTATGTCCTGTTAATTTTACCTAACTTTATGCATATCCATGTGTCCAATTAGATGGAAAGAAATTTAAATTTCTGATTTAAGTTGCTGCTGAGTATTTTTAAAAATAATTTATTTTGATTTGCAAGAAATGTAAAGCTTGAATGACACATTGTTCACATTCCATACAAATTGAACCAAAGAAGAAGGTTGAGCTGCCAAATAAAGGAAATATTTGCCTGATAACTAATACAGTTAAACATGCTTATAGTAAAAACATATAATGAATCGATTCTTTAGCAATGTGATTTTCATTCCCCATGCTTTAAATTATATTGTGGCAGTCATTATAAGTGTGTTTTACTGTACTTGTTTATATGAATGTTGAATATAAATAAACATGTATATTTCATTTTGTCTGTCACACAGTGATGTTTTTGCTGGAGGATGAAGGTCAAGGTCAAGATGAACCTTTCTACTCATCAGAGGAGGAGGAGGAAGAAGAAGGAACAGGTGAGATTTATATAGAAAGCTTCCAAACAGGTAAATACAGGCAAATACATGTACATTTCAATATTGAAGATAATGATAACATATATTTAAAAAAAATTCATTATATTAACCTGGTAGGTAGAGACTGATACCTCTTGGATTTTAGGTAGGTTTAATAAGGGCCAAATCCCATGTACACTGTAGATGCCATAATTGATTATAAAAATGATACCTATATTTGTAATAGTATAGACTTGTCTGGGCAGTGAAGTAATGGTCTGGGCAGTGAAGTAATGGAGACAACATGAACTTCCAGAATCAGAAAACATTTTATGGATATTGGAGTAATTTTTTTTTATGTATACCAGATGAGAGAAAGAGCAGCAGCGTGAGTTCTAACAGGACCGGTCATTTTCAGAAGAGACCCCTCCAGTACTCCTCCTCCGTCCCCATTATGGTGCCCAGGTGGGGGATGATGGCCAACAAAGACTCAGGGGAGGAGAGTGATGAAGATGTAGGTCATAGTTGTCACTGTGTCTAAATATTTAGGACTGCTTCAGTTTAATCACTATAAAACATATAAATGGTTCAAGAGGTTAGGAATAAACATACATACATAAAATACATGTGATATACTGGGTGAAGCAGAAAGTGTGAGTTAAGTCTAGCTAGAGGCAAAACAAACAACTTTTTTTACTTAGCAGTTGCCACTTTTCAAGTAAGTATTGATGTTTGTTTTTCAGTGCATTGGATAGATTTCTACCAATCTTTTATTAGGCATTTCTTTTATTCCTCTTTTAAAGAAAAATTGAAAATATCAATCCACTATCATTTACATTTGTAGTTTATATACATGTAGTAGAGTAACCTTAGCATTTCATGTTTTTTTTTTCAGCCTGCGCCTTCAGACCCTGAGGAAATGGCGGCTTCCATGCAAGCCTTGGCCAGAAGCATTACGAATGACGAGAGGATGATCTTCGGAGACAGACCCCGACCCCGACTGAACACCGGTGACTTTCATCATTAATATGGGAAACCTTTCTCGATAAATTACATTTTGTTTGTTACTGACGGGTTTATATACTAATATGATATTTTGACCTTTAATGGTATCATTGAAATGATAAATGATATTGGCTAGTGTTAGGTTTTTCTTTTTACTTCTGTATTGAAAATATTTGTGAGTAGTTTTTAAAAATATCATAAAAACTACATGAGTTTCAAATATGATTACTATTTTAAGTGATCTGTTGTGCATTTACCTAATATTAGTTGTGGCCTTCATTAATGTTTTATATTATGTTGGCCCGACAGCATGCAAAATTAGTCATATCAAAGCTGTACAATGTGCTTTTTGATTTACAATGGTAGTCATACACAGAATTGTGCCACATTTAGTAGAAGAATCTGAGGGTGTTAAATCTTTCATTTTTGTGTTGAAGTATTTTTAACCATGAATTGTGTATTTTTGGCATCAACTATTTATAGTATCCCCATTCTACTTTCAATTCATTTAAATTGTGAGTGAGATAAAGAAGGAACTCATTTCATAACAATCATCTAATTTATTTAAAAAAAATTAAAAGTTATGTGTTTTAAAACCAGCTCAGTTTTTCAACTGCTTAATCTCCATATATAACATTTAAAACATGCTACAAGTAAATGATATAATTTATTGTTAATGATATTGGCAGAAAATCTGTAAAGAATTTCATTAGAATAATTTAATAGCTTGTTTTGGAATAACTTGTGGTATCTCAATCATGAGTACCTAAAAGTAGATACATGTACCAGGTAGTTAGAAAAAAAAATCACAAAATAATTGGATGTTTGCTGACTTTGCCCATCCTTTGTGACCTAGACGATTCAAAACCAAAATACTTTTCTTTTTCTTTCTTTAAATAATAGAAATTTAATAAATTAATATATCTACATTATATTTGTTGTGTAAATTATTACCTTGTGGCATTATTGAAAGAAGTAATTAGAATATAAGAAGATTTTCCAGTTTAATTGTACATGTGTTTGAGTGAAGTTATAATCTTGATAAAACCAGTGACTTTACTTACATTACCAAAAGTATTACCGGTTATGTTTACGACTTTTTAGTCATTAATATAGGGCAAATAGCAGGGTATCTATTCCTATATGTTTTGTTCAACATCTAAAAATTTGGGCTGTTATTATTTTTTGCCATACCAGTATGAATTGAACTTTGACCTTGAAATATGTTACTAACAGTAATTGAATAACACATCTGATTGTTTTTGTGTCATAAAATTATGTATAAATTATAATTTTTGTTGAAGTGAACTTTTCATTTAGTTTTAATCATTCCATGTAAGAGAACATGTCATTTTAATTTCATTTTCCTGCGATTGTGATTTTATCTCTAGGTAATGGTTTCTTATGAGTTGTTCCCATATTCATTTTTTAGTCTTGGACAGTGGTGCATTCAAGATTGTGCTTGCTGTAATAAGAACAATCTTTTTATTCTGAAATATTTGTTTTAGAATGTGTTTGGTGCTTATTAGTCTCAAAGGTCTGTAAATGTCAGTCTGTTTGCCATGTTTTAGTTGATTAGGCCATTCCAAGTATTTTCTCTGTTTAGTGTCCACCAATCTTTCAAAAACCTACCTACCTTTTCGCAAAAAACACACAAGCCAAAACATAAAACACACGCTTAAAAGTCATAAAAATGACGTCCTTCAAATGATTGATCTAACTAAACTGCTTTAATAGAAGAAATTTCTATTCTTAAGCAAAAACAAAGGATTAAATGCTTACAATATACCTAATATAACTTAATGTACAGAATTATTTGGAGAAATTTACAAAATTCAAAAGTTTCGACTAAATTTATCAATTTCAGGACTCCTGTTGTTGTGTGTTTTTTCTCATAAGGGGTGTCAAAAACCAAGGCGCACGCAGACGCTAAACATAAAAAAAACTTGGAATGGCCTTACATATTATGAAGGAGAAGCTCTGTGCATTGAGCTACTCGAGTGTGGGCAAGCCAAGTTGTTGTCTCACTACAAATACATTTATTGATTTTGTCTAAATGAATGATATATGCTTAACCATATCACTTATAACAAACAAATTTCAAAAGTGACATTCTTGTTAACCTTATGGTTGTCCTATTGGGTTGTGTATGGCAGGAAATTTTTATCTTGTCTGAACATAAATTATGCCCAGAAAAATTCCCCAACTTTTACATTAAGTGACCCAAGCCAAAGTTACCAAGTTGTACAGGAGAAAATAAATTTGTTTACTGTCTTCTGAAATGTTACCAATTTAGTCTGTTTATAAATTCCTGGCTTTTTTTTAAGAGGACAAGGTGATATTTTTCTAATTATAATGTACTATTAAGCAAAAAATCTTTCTTTTTGGTCAGTTATTATGACACTAACCAAATGATTTTTTTTTTTTGGGCAGTATTATATAATCTACTGTTTGAGACTTCATCATCTATGCAAGTTTTGATTTACAAATTGCAATTAAGTGATATTGGAATGCAACTTTATTCACCAAAACATTTGATATGATTCCAATATACCTTTAATACTGTATTTGATAACCTTTTTGTTTTATTGCCGGCAAAACCATTATGACAAAAATTAAATTTTATTGGTATCAAATTCGTATTTTAAATAGGATTTAATGATTGAAATTTCATAATAGTTTTACCAGTTTTGTGATTTTAATTACAGCTATTCCTTGTTTTCTGTAACACCAATATCTCAAATAACGGAGATATCTCAAACTAAGTTGGTTTGCCACTGCATAAATGTATAGTGCTTTATTTGAGAAAAAAAAATGTTAGAAAGGAAAGCATTAAAGACAGGTATTTTTATTGGGAATATTTTTTTTTTCTTTGTAGTTTCAGTTTCATATCTTTGTTAAGTGTTTCCATATTCATGCTCCACAATATAATGTCCTATGACCCCAACCCTATCAGGTTTATCTTTTTTTGGGTCATTAATTGAATAGATGTTTTATATACTTGTATATATTTATCTGCTGATGTTAATTGATTTTTTTTCTTTTTGGCTGTAAGTCATTTGACCTGTTTTAAACAAGTTAATGTAATTTTGGTAGAACCTCTCCCACTTTTTCTCTGAGCCTTAATGGAGTTAGATCTAAAGTTAATGTGGTGCCAAGACATTTATTTTGAAAATTTAGAATAATTTGTATTCGGTTAAGCTTGTTACATGTCTAATTGTACATGTATAAACAAACAATGTACAGTTTCTGTTCAGGTACTGAAGATGTGATAATTTTAAATAGTGCAGAATCTGTAAAGCTTCAATGACATTTGTATTTCAATGTTGGGAAAGGTGTGAGGATTTTGATTAATGATTATAAATCAAAACAGGAGACCTTTTAATGTATATAAATATCTGAGATGACTTTATAATATTTCAGGTATGAATTACTGCTTATTTGGAAATTTACATGTAGGGTAATTTGCACGAAATCTGTGATGACTCCACCCCTCCTCAGCAATCGGTTCTTTTAAATGATAAACTACAGCTATTTCTTGTTTTATTAAAAAAAAAAAAATTAAAGTCGGTTTTTGGAGGAGTATCAAATTTCATAAATATTGAATTATTCTCAGATGTCCAGCTAGTCTGGATCTTTTCTATTTTTTTTTTCATACAAAAAGGGTTGATGCTTTTGATGAAATGAATTAAATGTAAATATGTTTGTAAATGCAATGTTAGCTGTTATCACATTTGCCCGTAGGTAGCTTAAGGTCAGAATACATGTTCCTTAAGTATATATGTGTTGTTTCTGTTGGTAATATATAAAGGGTGTTAAGAAAGTTCGTTCCACATTTTTCTTTTATTTTCGAAAAGAATTACGATGAGAAGATATTTACAATTTGTGATATTTCATGTTTACAGAGTCCATTCTTGCTACTGATAAGGTTCTAACTGTCTTTCGTTGAATCAGTAAAGGGAGGGCAGGTATTGAAACAGATGAAGTCTGTTTAGAAAAAATAGAGATGACGCATATTTGTGACATATATTAAGTACACAGATCAATACAGCCTTTCAAATACTATGCAAAAATTACCAAAGCTGTGAAAAATTTCAAAATGACACACCTGTTCTTTTAAAAAGTGGTCTATCGTTCTTACACCTACACTCATCAGCTTGTCTGATGCAAGATAAGATATGAAGAAACAAAGTAAATTATCCTTTATTTTCACTCAAAATGACCAGCATTTCTATCATTCGGGTGCTTTAAAGATGTTATATGTATTATCATATGGAAGAAAAATCTTATAATTTCTTACATGAAATGAATTGCTATGAATCAAAAGCACACTCTTGTGATTTTTTCAGACTTGAAAATTCATCTCTTTAGTTAAGCACTACTTTGAAATTTTTGATAGTATTTCATGCTGGAATGAACTTTCTTAACACCCCTTAGAAATATATTAATGATTATCATCATCTTGCTATTTCAACAATGTTTTCAAAATGTCATATTCAAGTTATGCCTGGTACATAAAAGATAATGACATTGTCAACTCAATTTCCAGTAAAGTTATTTTGAAATCTCCATCCTCAGGTATCTTGCACAAATGTCTGGTAAGGCACCTCAATTTTTGTGAATAAACTTGCTAAGATAGATATTGATATCTTAGCAAGTTTGTTCACAAAAACTGAGGTGCCTTACCAGACATTTGTGCAAGATACTTGAGGATGGTGATTCCAAAATAACCTTACTGTAACTTGCTATTAAAGATAAAAATGACTTTTGGAAATATATATATATTATAAAGAACATGTCTGACCTTTAGATGGTGGAATGTTTACCACTAGACACTTGGTGCTGTTTATAGCTTCCTTTGTTAATAGACACGATTACTGTGTATGCCATAATAATGGAGTCTTTGTGATGGTAAAGAGAAGAGCTAGGGTGATACTGAAAGTACATAAATGTATGCATTCAACAGGTGAAGGGGAAATTGTGGATAGCATTTCTTTCTTTTTTAAAATCATGTTTTATTAATATGCTTTTGTGATGTTCAAGTAATATGTAAAGAATATTACTGATTGTCAACCTCAGAGATTTTTTCTTTTTTATTAAAGAAATTCTCACTTTGTCTTCTTCATTTTTACCCCACCTCAGCAAAGTTAGGGGAGCTTAATTATGTAATTCCCTGGGTGTCAGTGTTGGTGTCCAGGTTGACGTTTTTGGAGCAGATTCCTTTTTAAGTACTTCGATTCTATGCCATACATTCAAAAAAGGTGCATGAAAGATGCTTATAGTGTCATTCATTGTACCAGGTAAGGTTTCAGAGGCTGCAATTTCAGCTAAAGATTGACCAAGTGATTGTTAGCTCACCTCAACGAAGTTGGGGGGAGCTTATGTGATACCCTCGGCGTCGGCGTCCCGGGTTAAGGTTAAGTTTTTTGGAGCAGTTTTCTTTTTAAGTACTTCTATGTCCTATATTGATTAGACATGCATGGAAGATGTTGCTAGTGTGTTTCATTGTACCAGTCAAAGTTTCAGATGCCGCAATTTCAGCAAAGGAATGACCAGGTTAATGTTTTTGGTGCAGGTTAACATTTTTGGTGCAGTTTTTGGTGTAGGTCTCATTTCCGAGTAACTATAAGCCCTATGTTGACCAAACTTACATGGATGATACATCTTAGGATGCATACTACCAGCCTTGCTTTGGATGCTGAATCTGACCTACATTTTCCGGTTGAGTGAACAGGTTAAAGTTTTTGGTGAAGGTTTCATTTCGAAGATACTTCGAGCCCTATAATGACCAAACTTGCATGGATGGTACATCTTAGGATGTATTCTACTAGACTTGCTTCGGATGCTGAATCTGACCTACATTTTCCGGTTGAGTGAACAGGTTAAAGTTTTTGGTGCAGGTTTCATTTCCAAGTTACTATGAGACATATAATGACCAAACTTACATGGATGATACATCTTAGGATGCATACTACCAGCCTTGCTTCGGATGCTGAATCTGACCTACATTTTCCGGTTGAGTGAACAGGTTTAGGTTTTTGGTGAAGGTTTCATTTTGAAGATACTTTGAGCCCTATAATGACCAAACTTGCATGGATGGTACATCTTAGGATGTATTCTACTAGACTTGCTTCGGATGCTGAAACTGACCTACATTTTCCGGTTGAGTTAACAGGTTAAAGTTTTTGGTGCAGGATTCATTTCCAAGTTACTATGAGACATATAATGACCAAACTTACATGGATGATACATCTTAGGATGCATACTACCAGCCTTGCTTCGGATGCTGAATCTGACCTACATTTTCCGGTTGAGTGAACAGGTTAAAGTTTTTGGTGAAGGTTTCATTTTCAAGGTACAGTGTACTATGAACCCTATAATGACTAAATTGCATGGATGGTACATCTTAGGATGCATACTACCAGACTTGCTTCGGATGCTGAATCTGACCTACATTTTCTGGACGAGTAAACAGGTTAAAGTTTATGGTGCAGGATTCATTTCCAAGTAACTTTGAGCCCTATAATGACCAAACTTGCATGGATGGTTTATCTAAGGGTGCATTCTACTAGGCTGGCTTCGGATGCTGAATCTGACCTACATTTTCTGGATTAGTGGAAAGGTTAATTTTTTTATACAGGTTTCATTTGCAAGTAACTTTAAGCCCTATGTTGACCAAACTTGCATGGATGATACATCTTAGGATGCACACTAATGGACTTGCTTCAGATGCTGAATTCGACATACATTTTCCAGATAATAGACCTCGTAAAAGTTATGGGTGCAAGTCTATCACCAAGAAACTATAAGGCTTATATAAACCAGTTGCACAAATGATGCATCAAGGGATGAAAACTCTCAATCTTTCTTCAGATGCTGGATTTTAATTACATTTTCATGATGAAGAACTGGTTTTTAGTTTTTATATAGGTCTATTCCAAAGTATCAAAATTGCATAAATTTTGCATTTTTGGATGTATACTTTTTGTTGGTTAATTGTGTGACTTAATTTGCCTTACTTAAAGACAACACACGTTGAGGTGAGCTCTGTAATCTCTGATTACCTATGTTTTTTAGAGCAGGTTAAAATATTTTTGAAGCATTTTGAATTTTTTTGTGTACCGTATATACTCGCCTATAAGTCGGTGTTTTGGGAGTTGAATTTTAGTCCAAAAGTCTGTGTCATAAAGACTGGTTTTTTTCTGGACCGCAAAAAAGTAGTATTCTATAATATTTTCAACAGTTATCTGTGAACAAAGTCGAGATTGATTATATCATGTTTGTATTCGACTAAGATTACACATAAATTATAAGTATTTATATAGTACATGTATTTAATAATTTTATTTTTTAATCTTATTGGGCATTAAATATTTATTTTTTCAATAACGTAAAGTTAAAAATCGACCCTCATTTCAAAAAATATTAATAGAAACCAGGTTAAAACATCAGAGCATTTATTTGAAATTGTCATCTGATTCTGGCAAAAAGGTGCACTGACTTATAAGCGGGTCAATGGCAAACCCATTCAAAATAACCTTAAAAATACATTAGACTTATAGGCGGACCGACTTATAGGCGAGTATATACGGTATGTTGAATTTTTGGAACAGGTCTCATTTCCACATAACTAGTATAGAAGCCCTATATTGACCAAACTAGCATGGATGATACATAAAAGGATACACACTACCTAGCTTGCTTTGTATGCTGATCTGACCTGGTTCAGTCTAAAGTCATTATTTGCCCTACCTGGAGTAAATTTGCATGCATTATGCATCTAAAGTTGGACTTGCTACAGATGCTGATATTGATCTTCAATATCTAGGTGTCAGATCACTCAGATGTAAAAGTTTTTGGAGCAGTTCCTTTCTAAAGTGACTATACAAGTCCTAATTAACCAAACTTGCATGGATGATAAATTTAACGAGGCCCGATCTACTTGATCTGCGCATACGTTTTAACGCAGCGTCGACTCAGGCACGTCACAATACCCTTGACTGCCGTCACAATAACGTCACAATTAAAATGACGTCAAATTGCGCTAAAATGTTTCGCTGATCTTGCTTACCTGGTAGCTCTATAGACTGTGCATTAAAAGCTGGCATTTTAATCATTTTTTTTAAATATTCAAATTAATAAACAACTTTGGAACCTAATTAATTTTAAGGGATCAATTGTTTGGTACAGATTCATTAATTTTATCTTATTTTATTTCAGTTTGTGAGTTTAAAAAAACAAACACTGTAACCAAAAGTAAACGATTTTAGTCTTTCTCTTTAAGTACCAGTCCACATAAAAATCAGACAAAGGGTGATATATGAGGGTTCTCAGAATTTGATGATTTTTCACTCATAGATTTATTTTGAAGTATGAACAATGTATGTAAAATGAAAAATGTTTTGAGTCATGGTAACCATGGAAACCCGGCCAAAGAAATTTCCTTAGCAACCGGCGGATTTTTCAGTGTTGAAGGACAAAAAAATCACCTATCTTTGAGGCTTAAAATAACTCGCAAATACCAAGAGAATAATTCTTACTTATGGGTGTAATAAAGATACACATTTATTGTGTCCAGATAATGTAATAAAAAATATTTAGGTCCTTAGTCAGTTCTGTGGTAGACATTGGAAGGTACACATGTTTTACAAGTTTTGCTGATTCAGCATTTTTCGTGATTTTGGCAATATTCAAGGCCAAATTTTAAAAATGGCCAGATTAATACAATTGTTGCATGTATCTCACATAAAAGCAGAGGTATTTCTCTTTTAGAATTTGAAGTCAAATCCATGGGCTCTTTTGAAAATCGAATCTGTTGCCTAGCAACAAAAATGGGCTTTTTGATGTATAAAATGAGAAAAAATGTAAAAAGTTTACGGAAAAATCAAATGAACGGTTATTTATGATAAATAAGATACAAATTTTAAAATACTATGGTCTCCCTAGCACATCACTGAATATTGCATAATTCTTTATCTCCATAGCAACGGCAGGTTCTCCATAGCAACAAGCCAAAGAAAGGTAGTTTTGGCGTGTATTCGTTTAATCTTATTTAGGCTTATTCAAATTAAGTCAGAAAAATGTGATTGAGCAAAACTGACAATGAACTGTTGGTCAATCTTAATTTTTTTATCTCCATAGCAACAGCAGGTTCTCCATAGCAACAAAGCAAAGAAATGTAGTTTTGGCGTGTATTAGTTTAAACCTATTTAGGCTTATTCAAATTAAGTCAGAAAAATGTGATTGAGGAAAATTGACAATGAACTGTTGGTTTTATTACTGTTATTTTTTTTGGTATTTAATCAACCCATATGGCAAGGATTCCGTGTACATGACAACCAAAGTTCCTAAGTCTCCTGTAAAACAGATTTGACTTTGGAATTGTATTATTTGTCATGGAATTGGATATTCAAGTAATATGCTGATAATTGCATGGTGATAGTTCGGTAAGACTTTAAAATATTGTATCAAGTTATTAAATATTGTTCAATGACTAATTTCCATAGCAACAACACCACTCCCCTGGCAACGACACAAAGAAAGTTTGACGTATATTCATGTCACCTGTAAATCTTTATTTAAATCATGTCATGAAGAAAAAAATGATGTTGAAATGTTTGTTTTTCGAAAGTATGTTTAAACTCATTTAATCCATAACAACTACTTCTAGCACATAGCAAACAATGTTACGTTTTCAGTATTGGATACTCTGTAGTCGTTATTCATAATATTGAAAGATTAGGCACTCGTCACAGATTTCTCAGAAAGTATTACAATGTATGAATTAAATCCTCATGAAAAAAAAATAGATAAAAAAATGAATAACGTCACTATGGAAACATTTCAAATGATATTTTCAATTGAATATGAAGATCAGGTTTTAATTATTCTATTGATACTTGTCATAGATTGGAGAGTGTTTTTTCCAAACGAAAAGAACCGTTCGCGGTAGCTCAAAGGTAGCACCTTCTGCGTCCCACAGTGGGATTCGAACCCGCGAAGGAAGGATCAGCTCCTTCCTTCGTGACTCTAGAGAAGACGCTCTAACCACTGCTCCATGAGGGCGACGCGGCACATTAAAATAAATCAAAACAAGCAAATTCAAAGAATTGTG